AAAAAAAAAAAAGGTTTCAGAAACCAATAGACCCTGTCATAACAAAGAATATTTTGTGTCCTGGGGAGATTTAGAGATGGGCCGATATCAAGACGTGACCTACTTTTCCCATGATAGGGCTGCCTCCGGATAATACTTTGATTTATTGACAAGGGGATGATCCCAAACTGATATCTTTTCTGCTTGTGCAATCAGAAAGATAATATCAATCCAAGTGAAGAATATAGTGTACAAAATAGTAACATCCATTTTTCAATGGATTTCTGTTAAAGGTGTTTATTACTCTGAAACCTTGTCAATATATTTAGAATGAGCTTAACTAAGCATTTATTTATTTTTATCCAAAAAGTTGTTGCTGTGATCCTCACTTGCTATTAAAAGGGTGATAAGTTTCTTGTCTTCTCAATGAGTTTTTAATTTTCTTTGTAAAGTTAAAATTGAACCACTAAAAAGAACATTTCTCAAGATTATTAAAGCGAAAGTCATAACATTATTGGAAATGGGGGGCATTTATTTTCTTCCTCCAGTTTAATTTGTTTGTTTTTTTAGTGATTGGTCTTTCTTTGTTTCTTTCATTCTTAGGGTTTTTTGTTGTATGAGTTCCATACTGCTGTGTAACAAATTACTTTGAATTTAGCAGCTTAAAACAATAAATATTATTTCACAGACTGCTGAGGGTCAGGAGTCCAGTAATGGCCTAGCCAAGCAGTTCTGGCTCAGGGCTTTTCACAAGAGTGTAGCCAAGAGGTTGACTGGGGCTTCCATCATCCGAAGGTTCGACTGGGGTCAGAGGAGCCACTTCTGAGATCACTAACGTGCTTCTTGGCAGAAGGCTTCACTCAGTTCTTCACCAGTTGTTGGAAGTCTCCATTCCTTGCCACATGGGCCTCTCCTTAGTGGGATGCTTATAACAGAGCAGCTGATTTTGCCCAGAGCAAATGATCCAAGAGAGAAAAAACGAGATAGAAGCCACAGTGCCTTGTATAACCTAATCCCAGAAGTATTAATACTATGGCTTTTGTCATAGTCTGTTGGTCCCAGACACCAACCCTGGTACAATGTGGGAGAGAGCTATACAGGCTGTGAATGCCGGGAGGAGGGGATAATTACTGGAGGCTGTCTTGGAGGCTAGCTGTTACAATTGTGGTGCTAGAATGATTCACCCATAATGTAAACTTGCAGAGGAGGTATATACACAGTTCACAGCATTTATCATGAAATATGTTTTCTTTTCAGAAAAAAAGAATGACATAAGAAAATTGTTTAGCCTCTTGATATTATTATTGTCAAATTATTCATTCTCTTTATTTAACCTATTATTACCGAAGTTTGGTAACATTTTGACAATTGGCATAGCATTTGTGAAGAACCATTTAAACGATTCCAAAGCATTACATTCCAGAATATAGTTCATTTCAGAAAAGCAAAATTGCTTTGTTTCCTGTGACAGCAGCCAAAAAAAACTGAAAATAAAATGAGCAATCCATTTCTTTTATTCCAAGTTATCTCTTAAAACTTTTTTGGGTATGTTTTAGTCATCTTGAGAATTCTGTCACTCTTTGACTTATATTAAAAGACAAACAGAAACAAATGCCTTGGAAGACAAAAATTTGTATAGATTGAACATTGAGAAAATATACCTGGACTTATAGCATTTAAGATAACTTGTGTTGCTATCTGCAAACTTACATTGCCAGAAACTGGAATATTCTATTTCCTTATCAATTACTTCTATAAAGCCATGTTTTGACAATGTCTTCCATCAGTGATACTATAATACACAGTCTATTTTAATTTTATTTGTTACAAGTTGCTAACCATTCTTCATATGTTAGGGCCATCTAGAAATATAGAACCACAGCACTTTAGATCTGGAAAGATCTTTGGAATTTTTGTGTTAAAAGTGTTCTCCATTTTTTGAAGGGTTGGGAAATATTACACTCAATGGTGCTGCCTCCCATGTTCTGGTTTGTCTTCAAAAATCTGTTTAAAATTTAGAACCTACTAATACCAGAGAGCAGTATGAAGTCATTGATAATTATTCACTGTATATAATCTCCAGAAAATGCCAACACCGGTTAGTACACAATGGTTCCAAAGAGTTAGAAGAATGGAACCAAAGACAGATGTTGGCAGGCTATATCCTTTTGGGATTCTCCCTATTCCTACCGTACATATGCTCACACATGTGCTGTGTGGCAATGATCAAGTGATAGGGCTTCTCTTTGAGTATTTAACTTTCCTCTTAAAAGTAAAACTGTGATATTTAAAAAAAAAGATCAAGGTTAAAAGTAGGAGTCATTACAAATATAGCACATGCACATACACACAAACACACCCTCAACCACCTTTGTATGTTAAAGAGCTTATTTTGCTTAGACTCAGGGTCATATTACAAAGTTTAATTCTAAAGTAAATAATTTTTTTCATTTTCATTTGGCTTGTGAAAATACCATACATTGTATAGAGTTAATCTTAGCCAAGGATTACTGCAAGCATAATTCCTTTCTCTGACATTAGTTTCAGCTAATTTACACAAGAACTATGGGATTTAGGCCAAGATTGGACCAACCTTCGATGACTGAGCTAAATTTTATTTCCTAAGTTAGATTTACAATATTAAAATTTGATATTTTCCAAGTTTATTAGCTGGAATATGCATATTTGTGATAGGATAAGTTCTTCATAAAATCTTATTATTAATTACTCAGTACTTTGTGATCGTCCAATATTTTAAATTAATATTTTGATTCTTACATGTTACCACTGAATTTTTTTCATTTATTTTAATTTGAGGATCATCTTTGTTTTTCATAAGAAAGTTTCCTCCACTTTCCTTTTCTAATTTTTTGGTAGTTTCTCGATTCTTTTTCATCTTTCTCTAAAGAAGATTTCTACAAATTAATCCTCTAGGATACAGTTTTTTTTAGAGCACAGTGATGTGAATGTATCAGTGTTTAATTAAACAGATTGTCTTCTTTCACTGGTTCCTTTTCTAATTTTTGCTTTATTATATACTTCAGTAAAGCCAACCCCAATTCTAACCTCCTAAACTCTGGCCTTTTGGGGGCATGTATTCTAAATTTTATTTCTATACCTAATAAAGAGATAATTTCACTTCTCTGCTGGTGCATAAGAAACTACCCCAAAACGTAGTGGTTTAAAACATTTTATTATTTCTTACGATTCTTGGAGTGAACTGGGGCTCTGCTGGATGATTCTTCTTCTGGTCTCACTCAGGATCTCTCATGTGACTTCAGTTTATGGCAGATGGGGCTGGAATGATCACCGTGACTTCATTGTGGCCCCTTAGTTAGAAGCCTGGGCTCAGCTGGGACATTGGGACATCTGAGCCTCTCCTTCTTCACATGACTTCTTGACATGGTCTCCCCAGCAGGTTATAGCTGTTGTTTTACATGACCACTTAGGGCTTTCAAAAAGCAAAAGCAGAAGCTCCCGGGCCACCCTAGAACTTAGTCCCACAGTCACTTCTGCCTCATTCTCTTGGTTGAAGAAAGTCACAGGGTCAGCTCAAGTTCATTCTGGGAGGAAGTCCACAGGGAATGCATACTGGAAGGCATGGTTCATGGGGGGCCATCTCTGGAGAGTAGCTACTACAGGGGTCATGTTTTCCTTTTCCACTAAGACCTCAATTCCTCTCCACTTCTTTTTCAGTTCCCTGTGTCTCTGGCAATTTGCCTAAACCTACAAATATCACCTTCTTATCCATAAACATGAAGAACATCCTACAATGGAATCCACCAGAGGGTCTACAAGGAATTGAAGTTACTTATACTGTGCAGTATTTCATGTAAGTTGGTTCTTTTACTTTTGGATAATTTATAAACACAAGACTCAGACTCCTGTTAATTGTGCAAAGGTAAACCATCTATGGTATTAAATAAGTGTTTGAAAAAGAGAAAAGTTTTAGATATCCCATGTTAAGTTTTCTTGATAGGTTTTGTTAGATTAAATTAGAAAACAGTTTCTTCATGGAGACAGAAGCACTGGGTGCTCAGGAAAAGGGAAGTTATGGAACTGGAGAAAAGAAGTTGGCCAAAACATTATTATGTGGCTGAGCAAACAAGGCAATCCATCATCTCTGAAACTGCTCAGCTTTTTGGAATCATAGACATTCTGAGACTTAGTGAAACTTAGTGTAGAACTCTGTGCAACCAGCTGTTCCTATTAAAGATCGCAGTGAATGGATATTTTTACTTTTCACCTCTCCCTCAAAACTCATTGCAAGCAAGAAAAAATGCAAAACAGTTAGACAACATCCATCTTCAGACAAACAAAAGAAATGCCATAACCCCAAACCATAAACTCTGAAGCATATAAGCCAAATCCTGTGGAATCTGAAGGAAAACAAATGCAGAAGCTGGAAGCAAACCTATACCTTCTAGAGCTCCAACGGCAGGAAATGATTTCACAACAATAAGAGTCACAGTAGTAAGAGGCCCACCTAACAATCTACGAATGAAGAAATCTAAGAAATTGCAACCACCAGAAATTGAGGAAATGCCCCCATGGAGGAGAATTCAGACAAGTAATTGTCCATAGTTTTACTACAGTCCATGAACTACATAATCTCCAAAGCTAAAACTCATAGAAGATAGAAGAGAAAACAGTAAAAGAAGAGACTCTAAGACAACACAGAAAAAAAATTTTTTTTTGAAGCAAGTGGGTAGAGCTTAGGAAAAAGTTGGAAAATAAAAATATTCTATTAAGATGAAAACCTATTTTAGCTAAGTGATAATAATGGTTGAACAGGTAATACAGACTATTTGGAATTATATATTATAAATTCATGGTATGTCTAGACAAATCCATAAAAACAATAGCAAGACATAGCCTGGTGAAGTCACTAAACTTTAAGAAAATTAAATGATTTATAACCATTATAGCAAAAACAGAACTCAAGTTGGAAGAAAAGGGGAATTTCTGCCTGGCAACATTCAGCAGAATACATCCTCCAAGGGCAAGACAAATGTGACCTAAGACTCTTTTTATTTTTTTGTCATCATGACATTGCAACAGAACTAAGACTCTTATTAAGTTCAGTAGACTTTTCAAGCAGGTGGGAACTCAGGATATCACTTCCCTGAGACCCTTTGTTGGGGGCAGGTACCACTAACTAAAGATGATGTCCAACTAACATAAATATAAAGATGAATTCAAAAGAATTTAGTAAGGACACAGTTATGGCAAAAAAATAAAATAAAATAATAACCCAGTGACATGCACTGAATTCCTCTAAATGTAGAACTAAGACTAAATAGCGATGAGAAAGATAGTTATAGAAACTTTTTTTGTAAATGTTGAATTTAAACAATAATATAACAAATCAGAAGTGGGGAAGAACTGTAAGTGTCCTGATTTTCATAGCAGGAAGCCATTAAATGTGACCTAAAATGAAAATACAAATACTTCATTATTTTAATAACAAGTCTCTCAATATTTTTCACAAACTGTTTTCTTAATTTAAAAGCTTTTTTAGGACTAATATCTTTTGTGGTAATGAAACATTTGAACTTCAGCAATTCCTTTAATTTCACTTAAATTTCTTTTTTTTCTATTAAAGTTCAAATCAAGTTTTATTTGCTACTTTTATTGAAACTATATGTACGATATAATTTAATTTTTGTCTGTGCTGCTATCTAATCATTCTTCTGTTTATATGTAAGCATGACAAGATGTCCAGAATCATGTACTAAATGTTTCAGGGTAATGGGTTTTCGGGTGATTCATTTCTCTTTCGATTATACTTTTCTGCTTTGTTCAATTGTTTGGATTAAAAAGCATTTACCATATTTACAAGAAAGAATAAAGTCATGTTTGTCTTTGAAAAAATAATTCACAGCAACCTCATTTATCTAGAACCTCACTCTCATTTCTAAAGAGTTTCTCAGGCGCTGGTGTTAGAGGAAATAAGACTTCGCTCTGCAGAGAGAAACAGCTCATGAGCGTGCCCTTGCCTCCTTTTCCATTAGGTGGAGCAAAGAGCTTGCTCTGTCCTTTATATTTGTCTGTGATTCAAAAAGGATTATACAAAAATAGGCAGAGTCATCACTGCTCTGTGAGAGCAGATAACTTAGATTGTGCACATTTCAAAACTGTGTATCTAAAAAGAAGCTTGCTATGTATGTCAGAGTTCTTACACACCCATGCATGTGGAATGTGGACAGGAGTAGAGGGTGGCGTGTTCCACTGCCAGAGGGCTCCAAGCTCAGCTCTGGCGTCAGACAGTCCCCAGGTCATAGCCAGGCTGAGCAGGTTACATATTATACTTTTATACTTTTGCGTGAAGTTTGTTTCCAGGATGAAAATTTAACAGAAGTTTAAATTATATCCACCAAAAGAATTGAACGCAGGAAATAGAATGTAGCCCTAAAATCACAAGCTTTGTCATCAGGGAAAAGTGATTCAAATCCCAGATATGCCTTTTATTAGTCATGTGAACTTGAGTGTTTCCCTTAATCCCTCAGTTTCCTCATCTATAAAACGGGATGAAAATAATGCCACCTACCTCCTAGGGTTGTTACGATAATGAAGCGGGCCCTCACATGACTTTTTGCCAGGCATGAGCATCATTACTGAAATATTTGTTGAATGATTCTGGTCATCATTTATTTTGTTCAGAATTCAGTAAAGAGCATTTTCTCCTTCATCAGCATCTGTCGTGGGAAGCTGCCCTGCCCTTGGCAGAGTGAGGAAGTTCGAGGAGGGAGGATCACATAGGCAATGGCAATATTTTTCAAACCACATGTCAAGACCTGTTGATAGGTTATGAAATCAATTTTGAGGGACATAGCTAGCATTATTTTTAATGGAAAGGAATGGAATGGTGTAAAGTGGAATGGAAAATAACTGAATGCATGGTATATAGTAAAGTTTAAATATTATCTTGTACTTTTGTTTTAGTATATTAGATGTGTATCCTTTATGAACTGAATCACAATGTAAAGAATATTTTTCTGCCATGGATCATGGTCAAAAAAAAAATTTTTGAAAACCCCTAAGCAATTTCAAAAAATTTGAAAACCACTTGGATGGCGAAGTTGGCCAACAAGATCTGGCTATATTTCTAATGTTTTTGAGTAGGTGTGGTATCTATGAAACAGGAGACATTTACTTTCAGAAATCTGTTGCTATATTCTGAAGCTTTGGCAATGCTTATAAAAGTTGACATACCTCCTCCTCGGGAGGAGTCATACTTTTCCCGTGACTTTTGTGATACATGTTTTTCCTCTTCTCTCTTTAGCTGCTACTTCCAGGTCTACTTTGTATCCAACCTTTAAATCTTGGTGCTCCGGAATTTTTATTCTAGACATTGCTGTGTCTCCATGGAGAACTCATTCATGCCTGTGCCTTCAATGAGCAGCTCTATGCCGTTGCCCTGAGCCCCACTGCCTGCTGGGCATCTGCATTTGGATATCTCATGCATACCTCAACACATTCCCAAATCTGCTCCTCCTCAGTGTTCCTTATCTTGGAAAATGTTACTACTGTTCTACCCATCTGCCCCAGACGCAAAAAGACGTCATCCTTAACACCTTCATTTCCCTAATCTCTTGCATGCACTCACTCACCAAGTCCTATCTCCTAATAGTTCTTATTTTTTTAAATTTTTAAAAAATTATTGATCGACTGAGACAAAGTCTTGCTCTGTCACCTGGGCTAGAGTGCCCTGGCGTCAGCCTAGCTCACAGCAACCTCAAATTCCTGGGCTCAAGTGATCCTGCTGCCTCAGCCTCCCAAATTTAGCTGGGATTACGGGCATGTGGCACCATGCCCGGCTAATTTTTTCTGTTTTTATTAGAGACAGGGTCTCTCTCTTGCTCAGGGCTCAGGCTGGTCTCGAACTCCTGAGCTCAAGCAATCCTCCCACCTCGGCCTCCCAGAGTGCTAGGATTACAGGCATGAGCCATGGTGCCCGGCCCTTCTCTCCTAATAGTTCTTGCTTTTGTCCTGTCCTCATTAATTCTGTTACCATCCTTGTCCAAGCCACCTACACGTTCCCTTGGACCACTGCAGTATCTTCTGAACTATTCCCCACGCTGCCACTTCTAACCCTGTCACCTTCTCCACACTCCCTCCAGAGTTAGCTTCCTGAGACATGCCTCTGATCTTGTCCCCCAACACCCTGCCTTAATCCCTTCAGTAGCCTCCCACACAGCTCTGTCTCTTTCACTGTCTCATCCCGTGTCACCCAAACTCTACACCTGAGTCTCTCCACCTGAAAAGGTCTAAAAATATTTCCTTCTTCCTATTGACTCTGAGTGTTGTGTTTTTAATAAAGAAAAAGAAAATCAATATGAACAACCTAATCGATATCATCATTACTATCCTCCTCCTCTTCCTCCTCCTCCTCATTGTAACTATTGAAAATGCAGGTTTTTGGATGCACTCCACCCTCATGAATATTCCCCAGAACGTTTGATGCCTAGCAAATTTTTAAATTTTAGGAAAGTGCCAAGATAATTTTTCTTCCAAGAAAAAAAATGGCTAACCATTTGTAAAACAACACATCAAACAGACCTCGTATACAGGGTGGACTATAAACTTACATAGATGATTACTGGAAGAATGGATCACACAATATGTAAAAATTTTACTGTAGCCAAAGAATAAAAATAAAATACATACTTTCAGAATGTACTATCCACATTATAATTCACAGAAAAGAAAGGTGATTACAGAAACTCTGACTCATGTTCCTGACAGCTAATGAAAAAAAATTGCCAGCAGCAAAAATGGATTCTTTTTTATCTCAATGACAGGCACTTTTGTTTTTCTGGAGAGAAGGTCTTCAGTTCCATTCAGTTTTATATAATGACTGGGAGTTTTTTTTAATTGTAGAGAGGGCATCTCATTATTAATTCCAAGTTTCCTTCCTAGCAGATATGGGCAAAAGAAATGGCTGAATAAATCTGAATGCAGAAATATCAATAGGACCTACTGTGATCTTTCCTCTGAAACTTCCGACTATGAGCACCAATATTATGCCAAAGTTAAGGCCATTTGGGAAACAAATTGCTCCAAATGGGCTGAAACTGGACGATTCTATCCTTTTTTAGAAAGTAAGTAATGCAACTATTGCAATTGTTAAACGTGTTAACATCAAGTTAATCTGACCTCCTGATTTAACAGTCTCAGGCTCTTAGACAACCTTGTCCCAGAAGAAAGTCTCTGCTTGTTCTGTTCTGCACCAGCAGGTTGAGTGACGAGGCCAAGACGCTTCACCTTGCTGGTTCTCACAGTCTCATCTTTAGAGCAAAAGGTTTGGGAAAATGATCTCTAAGATCTCTCCCAGATCCAAAATTGATGCTAGATGCCAATAATTTCACAATTTGATTTTGTTTTACTATTTATTGGAGTCTCTGTAATTTGAGTAATAGCTAACAGATTTTCTTTTAAATGTGGGCTTATAAACCATTGACATGTGTCCATAAGATTGATTAAAGATTGTCCTGATCACCCAACTAAAACTCTTCTTGCTATAAACTTGGTAGCATGATGATGTAATTTCTAGGTAAAACCATAATTAAGGCAATATCTTCCTGGTATTTGCTTTTATAATTTTGCCATCCTCTGATGTGTGGCTAACTCAGCCATGAGAGACCCACTCAGGGCCACCATAATGAACTCTACAAGTGCTGCATAGGCCCTGGAGCTCTTCCAGATCAGGGGTCAGAGAATTACAGCCCTTGGGCCAAATCCAGCCCCACCCCAATTTCTGTTTTCCTACAGGCCAAGAGCTAAGAATGGTATTTATATTTTAAATATTTTTTTTAATCAGAATAAGAATATTTTGTGACATGTGAAAAGTACAGGAAATTCAAATTTTGGTGTCTATTCATAAATAAAGTTTAATTGGAACACAAGCCACACTCATGCATTTTACATAGTTATCTATGACTGCTTTTATGCTACAACCAGAGTAGAGTAGATGCAACAGAGATCATCTGGCCTGCAGAGCCTAAAATATTTACTGTCTGGACTTCTATAATAAAAGTTTGCTGACCTCCGTTCTAGATCATTCTAGTCTCATCTCTGATTTTTCCACTTATCAAATCATGTTAATGTTATTTATCACCAACTTTTCAAGTCATAAACAGTTTTGATTGTATTTACCATCATCAAGTCCTGTTCATCCATGTGACTAAGTAAATACAACACTTGGGTTGGCTGTTTTAACATTGCGTTAGGGTGTATGAAATGATTAGTTCAAGATCTGGCCTAACCCAGGCCCACCGTAATACGTTTTGAGGCAGCTCCTGTGAGAGGGTAGGTTTTAGGGCTTTGAACCGAGTAGGATTACACTGTAGCTTCATCTAAGGTGATTTTTACATCTGAACATGATAATACCCTCTCCCCTCCCCTTCAAGCACAAATCGGCCCACCAGAGGTTGCTCTGACTACTGACGAGAAGTCCATTTCTGTTATCCTGACGGCTCCAGAGAAGTGGAAGAGAAATCCAGAAGACAGTTCTGTTTCCATGCAACAAATCTACTCCAATCTGAAGTATAACGTGTCCATATATAATACTAAATCAAATAGAATGGTAAGCCCAAAATGGAATGGAATATATAATCTATGTACTACTTTTTGTAGCTAATGCTAGAACAAACAGCCCTGATGCTTTGAGTCTCTGCCTGCGAATCAGGGAAGATGTGATATTCAAAAGAGATGCCGTACAGATACACTTGAAGCTGAAATGTAGAAAATTTACAGAACTGACTTCAGATTTTCCTTATAGAAACTCTGTGTTAACAGGGTGTGATGTTGCTACTGGAATGTAGAGCGACTGTGCACTTCACTTTGATGGAGAGCTTTTACTTGCATAACATCTGTCTGTCACTGTCCTAGAAGAAAAAAAAATGTTAGCAAGAACACAGGACAAAGTTGAATAAAAAGATCCATGCCTGTGTTTTTTTGAGAATTGGAGATGGGTCCAGTTCCTGCCCGTGCCCTGCTGAGCTAAAGAAAAACGGTGTGTTGAAACTGTTGCTGGGAAAAAAAAGTTTACAGTGACAGTAAAGGATTAAATGGCATCTCAGTCTTTTATTTCTTTCTAGAGGTATTTGTCTGGGCTGGTCCCAGAAATCTTTGGCTGTAACCACTGTTTGCAATTCCCCGTCCTAGTGGTCCCAATGTGTGACCAACCACACGCTGGTGCTCACCTGGCTGGAGCCAAACACTCTGTACTGCGTCCACGTGGCGTCCTTCGTCCCCGGGCCCCCTCGCCAAGCTCGGCCTTCTGAGAAGCAGTGTGTCAGGACTTTGAAAGGTGAGCTTAAAAAACTCAGCCCGTCTAAGGAAGGAAATCTACTAAAACTAGAAGGAAGTATGACAGTTTAGATATGATTTTGTCAAATACATGTCTAAAAGAAACAGATTGAGGCAAAAGCAGAAACAGCTCTCACCAGAAATGCACTGAGCGGCCCCTGGGGACTCTGCCATGGAGCCTGGCGGGTTTCGGACTGTTCTCACCCCTGCAGAACTGTCAGTACGGGTCCTAGCGTCCACGGCCAACAATCCTGCCACAGTCATACGGCCACCTTGTGAAATCGCAAGAACTTTTACACATCTTTTTTCTTCTTTAAAGCCATAATCATTCTGATCAATAGAAGTTCTGTGATCTTCAAGAACATCAGACAGTTTTACTGCTGGAAGCAAAGCATTATCCTAGAAACACAGTAAAACAGAAATTTTTTGCCCCCCCCTTGGGAATCCTAATTCCAGGCTCTTCCAGTTGCGTTCAGATACCACTTACTGGCCGCGCGAGAGCCTGGGATCAGCAAATCCACGGTCACGCCTCTCCCCCCACAGTTGCTTCTCTCTCTTTCGTTCGTCTCCTCCTCACGTTTTCTGAACTGAGCAGCCCGGAAACCGTGGTTGAAGATACTCTTTGCTGTTAGGAGACACAGAATTGTGAGCTTGGCATTTGTTTAATCTTTCTTCTCCCAGGCAGAGAGGAGCTTGAACTCAAAATCCAAATGAACATTGAAAGAAAATAAATCCTAAAGTTCGCCTGCATCCCAGGGCTTGTCACCCAGTTATCTTTGCTTCTCGTCCAAACATGCTGGACTAGAGACAGATTCTCACCACCTTTCACCCTACGCCTGGGTCCTATCATCCTGGGTCCAGCCAAGAGTAGGAATGCACAACCTGCTTCCTTCTTCCCTCGCCCCCGCCCCCCTTTCCAGATGCGGCTACCCCAAGGAAAAGAAAGGGCACGTTGCCAGTACTTGTGAAAAGTGCAGGGCTTTGTTTTTCAATCTCTGTCTTTATCATACCTTTTCCTTTAAAATGAAGGGTTCTCTGCCATATGTCAAATGAAACTAAAATGCCAAGCAAAACAAAGCAGATGGAAGAAATCATTTTTGTATTTGGGAAAGGTGCTCTGTTTACTAACAACTTGATCAGTGCCAACTGGTAGGAATGAATTTCCAGTGGAAATCATTGAGGCAGTCAGTTGGCAGAGCAAAAGCAACAAAAGCACAGATTAAATTAAATACTTCCCAGTACGCGGACAGAGCTCACTTTCTCACTAGTATAGGCAAAGTAACAAAATAACAAGGCGCCATTTCTGGTTCTGAACTTTCCCTTGATATCCCAGCTGTTGGATCACCAGAGATACTTTTCCTTCACACCGGCATGAGGGCTGCTTCCTGAAAAATCAGTATTACCTCTGTAGAGACTATTCTTCTTGAAAAATATTTCCATTTTCCATAGTCCTCCAATCCCTAAAATCGAGATACAGTTTACCAGGTTTATTGTGGTGACTCTTTAATTAGAACAGGCTTGGTTCAGGGACCAGGGATTGCATTAAAGGGCTGGACTGAGTTGCAGCCTAAAGTGGAGGCAGGTGGTGCTCTGGCCCCTGCAGCGTCCACCTTGCGGCGTTGGCACATTACCGCACGGAACCTGACCACACATGTGCTCTTCCGGAATTGTTCAGGGTCACCGAGCCGGCAGCTGGCCCCCACTGGACTTGTCCCACCAGCTATTGTTGCCCGCCCTCATCATCCATGACGCATCTGTTCCCAGTCTTTAACTGGATAGTTAACTGGATAGGGACTTAGCTGCCTTCTCTCAGGCCCAGGCATCAAAAGCATCCAACCTACACGTGAATTAGAATGCTTCTGTCTCACTCTTGCTGGTTTTATTAGTGTGTAAGGGATACACTAGGACTTTTGTCATTTGTGCTAAAGCTCTTCCTTTTTCCACTTCTGTATTAGGATTCTCTAGAGAAACAGAACCTATGTATATCTATGGATATATAGATATAGATAGATATAGTCTCCTATTGGTTCTATATATTGTTTGAAAGAAAGAGATTTGTTTAAGTTGGCTCACAGGATTTTGGAGGCTGGCAAGTCCAAAATTTGTGCAGGCAGGAGATCCAGGGAAAAGCCGATGCAGTTTCGCCCAAAGTCAGTCTGCTGGCAGAATTCCCTCTTTCTCGGGGTCGTCAGTCTTTTTTTTTTTTTTTTTTTTATTAAAGTCTTCAATTGCTCAGCTGAAGCCCGCACGCATTATAGATGGTAGTCTGCTTTACTCAAAATCTACTGATTTAAATGTTAATCTCATCTAAAAAATACCTTCACAGAAACATCTTGAGTAATATTTGGCCAAATATCTGCATACTGTGGCCTAGCCAAGTTGACACAGAAAATTAAGCGTCACAACTTCCAAGCACACCATAGTAGCTTAACAAACATAAGTTAGTGAGCTCTAGTCATCAGCTATATAGTCTGATCAATAGTGGGCCAGGCCTGCGTTTCTGAAAACCTTTTCCCCAGGTCTTTCCATCTCTCTGTGGACTTTTGCCCATCATGAGCCTACAGCACAGCAGGACCCAGGAGGGAGTTAACTGCCATTCTCAGCACACCCAGTCCAGCTACCTCCCTACACACATCCCTAAGCTCCAGCCCTACCCAGAAAGTCTAGCTAACCAATGCAAGGATGATTTGTTATTCATATAAAAGGTGATGCCGTGCATTCACATCCCCCACTGAATGTGTGGGGAAGATTGAGTCAAATGAGTGCTGGGGAAAAGTGGGGCCACTCAATGGGATCTTCATAAGAGGGTTTTGTTGTTTGGTTAGAAGTGCCATGAGTTCCCCAAATATCAGATGCCCTTCAAATAGCTGAATCCGCATGGATCTCAGAGCCAGACATAAAATGTTGGAACACCTGCTGCTTGGATCACTGATGCATCCTTACTATAAAGGTTTAAGGTGCATCCAGATGATTCCTTAAGACCATCTACTGTCAGAGAGAATAAGAATTTTGAGACCTCTTATAACATTTAGATTAAACTTCTCAAAATACAGATGAGAAAATTTGTGTTCCTAAATGTAAGTGATGCGCCCAAAGCCAGTTATCTCCCGCCACACCAAATCACAGCTCTCCAACCCCCTCCTTTTCTTTTTTACAGATCAATCTTCAGAGTTCAAGGTTAAAATCATCTTCTGGTATGTTTTGCCCATATCTGTCACGGTGTTTCTTTTTTCTGTGATGGGCTATTCCATCTACCGATATATTCACGTCGGCAAGGAGAAACACCCAGCAAATTTGGTGAGTTCTTGGTAGCAGGAGTATTATATTATATTATATTATATCATATCATATCATATCATATTATCTTTATGTTATAACACACCTGCAGAAGGATAGAAAAAAAGACCATAGAACAGATACAGTTCCAATTAAGGGAAGAGTGAATTTAAATAGTTGATGAATTATAAAACACTTTTTGGATTGGCTCACTAACATAACCAAAGATAAAGATTCCATAGCTTTGAAAAGATGTTATTTAACGATCTTCTAGAAGTGCATGTGTACTCAGGGACTAGAATTTCTAAATAATACATGAAGGCTAAGATGAGAGCCGGCATTGGGACCTCTGGGGGTACAGGAGGGCCCCGACCCCCTGCGTGGGGGCTCAGCACTCATGCCAGGGCTTGGTGAGGGGAGGTGAGTAGGAGCTAGGACACTTGGGGTAGTCGGAAGAAGCAGCGGGACAGCGGTGGGTGGAACTGCATGACCCTGTTGCAGGCTCCAGTGAGAGAGTGGGCGCAAGGCCCAGGTAGAAGACCGGGCGCCGTCCTAAGGAGCTGGGGCTTTACTCTGCCGGCAAAGAGAAATCACCGCAGGGCTTTAAGTTGGGAGCATCACATTCAGTATTGGGTTTTAGATCCAAATGGATTTTAATTCCAGGACAACTTTGGGGAGAGTAAGGCTAGAAATAAGAAAAGCAGCTGAGGGACTGTGACAGTTGTCCGGGGAGAAAAGACGCAAGTCTAAAGACAAGAGAGGGACGGAAACACAGGAGGACCACCGCCAGGACTTAACCATTCACAGAAAGGAGATGCAAGAAAATAGAAGGGACAAACCCAATGTTACTGGACCATCGCTGAAGGGTTCCGAAGGGCTGAGTATATTTTTTTAAACAATAAAAGCTATTTCCTTGGGAACTATTAATGTTCTTGTGCACATGGTAACATACACTGGTTCCTGTCAGTTCCGTTTGTAAATGTTTCTGTGACTCTGCCTGTACTTAGGTTTCAGAGTTGGCTTCTCAATGGCATCAGGAGACCTTTCCTGGAAGGGAAATTTACAGCAGAACTGACTACTTGTGATTTTTTTTGAAACCAGAAATTTTATAAAAGAAAGAGGCTGAAGGTCCTATTTTGCAATATTAAATGAAATCCCATGGCAGAGTGACAATGAGGATTATAACATAACCCATAACTGAAGCTCTCTTAGATACCAGGCACCTTCCACATACCCCAGCAATATTTTAATTCAACTGAGCTTCCCTGAATTGATGTAGAGTTTCTCTGTCTGCCATAAACTGGCAGGTGAATTTCCTTTTTTGGCCCTATTATAGCATGCTTAGAATGGTGTAGGGGGTAAGACCATCCCTACTCATGTATTTCTCTCCCTTTCTACATCCAACTTTCATGCCTGTCCACATTTCACGTCCATGGCGTATCCCGAAAAGGGCTGGTCACCCAGGGAACCACAGCTAATTCACAAGTCCGTAGCAAACTACACACAACAAAGCAGTTTCACAAATTCTGTCGCACTCCTCTTTGCCACTCTCCATGTGACCGAGATTCTGACTTCTCAGAATTAAAAAGGTTCAAGAAATTAAGCCACCTGCCTGCATTTCCTCAGCCAATCAGAGGAGGGGGCAGCCACAGGCCAAGCCTTGGTCTGAGAAACACCCCCCAGGGAGCCACTCTGCACTTCCGGGGGGGCCTTGTGTGGCTTTGGGTCTCCAGCCTCCTAGTGAGTGAGGTTCAGCTGTATATTTCAAGCATAACTTTCATTTTCACAAGTTGGTAAGAGAATGTCGTTAAAACTATCTGGGGACACTATATTCTACCTAATAGCTGTTTTTAATGTCTCTCGGAAGTGAAAAGGTGAAAACCATTCTCTTTTCTCTTTATAGATTTTGATTTATGGAAATGAATTTGACAAAAGATTCTTTGTGCCTGCTGAAAAAATCGTGATTAACTTTATCACCTTCAATATTTTGGATGATTCTAAAATTTCTCATAAGGATATGAGTTTACTGGAAAAAAGCAGTGATGTATCATCCAACCTTAATGATACCCAGAACCCGGAGCCACCCCAGGAGAACGTGGAGGTGGAACACTTAGGGTATGCTTCGCATTTGATGGAAATTTTCTGCGACTATGAGGAAAACACCAAAAATACTTCCCTCTCCCGGCAGGAGTCACTCAGCAGAACAATACCCACAGATAAAACAGGCATTGACTATGAATATGACGTAAGAACCACTGACATTCGTGTGGGGCCTGAAGATCCAGAGCTCAGTTTGCAGGAGGAAGCTTCCATACAAGGAAGAGTATTCGAGCAACAGGCAGCTTTGGCAAACTTGGGCCCACAAACGTTACTGTACTCACGCACCCCTCAGCTCAGAGACTTACACCACCAGGCACAGGAGCACACACACTCAGAAGCAGGGCCCGAGGAAGAGCCATCGGCGACCCTGGTCGATTGGGACCCTCGAACTGGCCGGCTGTGTATACCTTCCCTGTCTAGCTGCGACCAGGACTCCGAGGGCCGTGAGCATCCTGCGAATGATTGTCTCACGGAGGAGGGCCTTTTAGCCAGACTCCATGAGGAGCAGGCTCCAGACAAGCCACCAGAGGAAAATGAAACCTATCTCCTGCGATTTATGGAGGAGTGGGGGTTATATGTGCAAATGGAGAACTAACGTCAAAACTTCCCTTTGCCAGACCCTCGTGTGACATGGCTTGTGAGCGCAAACAGATGAGTGACCCGACAATAAAGTACCTTCCTGGGATAAAAGAAGTTTATTCAGATTTTTCAGTGTTAGTGAGAATTACTTATTTCTTCTCTCTGTGCTCATAGCACTTGTTTGGACCTGCCGCCTGGGGTGGTTGGTTCATGCATGTGGGTCTCCTGCAGTGGTGGTGGGCACCTAGAGTGCAGCGGCTGGCCCGTCGCATTCTACAGAGGGAGCAGTTAATAAATGTTTGCCAGACTGGGTGCAGAATTCATTCAGGTGGTTTTACTGTGGCCTCTTTGTTTATTATTTTCCAACAAGCACAAGTATTCAATTATTTTCTGGGTATTTACTGTGTATATAAAGCATTGTAAAAAATATTTCATAAAGATAATCATTTTATAAATACTACTTTTTCAGAATTTGGTTATTGTAAGAGTGAGGAGATACTTAAAACATACACATACCACTAGGTCGGTGGTAAGTTGGTCACAGGTAAAAAACCGCAACTCACTATTGAGTCATAATAATCCACGTTTAGAGTGTATAAATCAGGCACAGACCTTCCTGATCTCACACACTTTTGCCTACTTTAAGAAGCCAGATTTAATGTGAGTAGTTATGGAGTATAAACATAAATTATTATTTTATAATCAGAAAAATGTCGTCCCAATAATTTAGCAGGGGCTTCTTGTCCCTCCAAATTAATCTGAAAGAAAATGCCACCATTTTAAAATAGAATATTACATTTACTTCTGGAAACGTGTTTTCAAAGAGATGTTTACATAGTCTGTAAACTAGAAAGTTGTTCAGCATTTGAAGCACTGTGTTACTATTATAACATTAAATATTCTATTAGAATGGGCGGTGCCTCGGAGACTCTTTTGAATATGTATGAATGAATATCCTCTGTCCACATAATATTAAAATCAACAAATAAGCACAGGACATACAAAAGAAATAAGTTAAATGAAAAGTGAGGGAGAGTTTATTAAAACTTGATACAATTTACTGTGGGAACTAAAGCATACCATAAAACAATACCTTTCTAGTTAAATTCCAGCAACTTGTTTCCATCTCCTTTACCACTTAAGAAAATTAAATTCTGCAGTCACCCTGGATTAAAATGGGATAGAATCAATATTAAGTTGAATCATATAAAATTGTTGATGGTTGGCTGTTTTTGATCTGCAGAAACAGCAACTTCGTATGGTTTTGCCTTAATATATATTTGTTTTCATCAGGAACTCATAATCCACTGATGCTCTTTCAGGAAAACAGATACCCACGTTATTTCCTTATTTATATTTTTGGCACAGGCAGACAACCCTGGTAGGAGAGATGGATTCTGGAGTCATGATCTTTTGCAATTGTCCACAAATCTGAACTGTCTTGGATCTACTGGTTTAATTTAGAGCATAATTATATTAATCAGAGTGTTCTGTTCTTCTCAATCTTTATAGATACGATACTGCGAGTTTGGAAGAGCAAATTTATATCACTAACCATAAAAGAAGTTCAGGAGTGAGAAAGAATAAGTTGTTACTAAGAGCAAAAGGAAAATAAAATGATTGTTGATAGTTTGGCTTGTTAATTTCATTCACACAATATTAATTGAACACCTACTACATCCTTCAGTGTCTTCATCTGTCAAATAGAAATAACAGCCTCCTTAGGGTTGTTCTGAGGGTTAAAAGGACTGTGGAAGGCACTTAGAATGGTGCCTGGTACCAAGCGAGTGCTCCGTGTTTGCTATTGTCACTAACTGCCAGATCACATGCTTAGCCCCAGAAAGAGAAGCCAGTTAGACATATGACTATTTTGATTCAAAGGCAGAGCTTGCCTGACTTTATTTTCCTTACCTGAAAGTACAGTAGTAATTTGCTTCCTACTTCGTACCTTCAAGATTGAAACCCTTCAGTGGTTGAGCCACATTTTCTGGCTTTGTAAAAAAGAAGCTAATTCTGAGTTGCTTTTACATCTCCTGTCATTCCAAGCACGTCAGAGTGTTGAGCATTTCTCTTATTTTGCTGCTTCAGTACTTTGTCGCATGTACACATACAAACATACATGTACATTCAAACATGAGCATATAATAGATATTGCTTGTGGGGGGAGGTGACATCTTAGATGTGGTGTATCTGTGTCAGGGGGGCAGCTGTCACGCATCCTGTTCCTTCTGTGGCCAAACCTTACCAGCTCCAAGAAGCAGTTGTCTGGTTCTCTTCAGGTTTCCTCCCTAGGGCTGAGGTTCAAGTGGAGCTGAGAAGCTGAAGTTTCAATGTCTTTGACAAGTACAGTCGGCCCTCCACATCCATGGGTTCTCCATCCATAGATTCAGCCAGCCACAGATCAAAACTATTCAGGAAAAAAAAAATCCACAAAATTCCAAAAAGTGAAATGAATTTCCCTCATACCAAGTACTATGTTGAATCTACTCCAATGAAGTGATGTGTAGGCAGTGTATTAGGTACTACAAGCAATCTAGAGATGATTTAAAGTATATGGGAGGCCAGGCAGGGTGGCTCACACCTGTAACCCCAGCAGTGTGGGAGGCCGAAGCGGGAGGATTGCTTGAGGCCAGGAGTTTGAGACCAACCAGGGCAACATGGCGAGATCCCATCTCTACGAAAAATAAAAATTAGCCCAGTGTGGTGTCATGTGCTTCTAGTCCCAGCTACTCGGGAGGCTGAGGCAGGAGGATCACTTGAACCCAGGAGTTTGAGGTTGCAGTGAGCGATGATGACATCACTGCACTCTAGCCTGGGCAACAGAGTAAGACCCTGTCTCTAATAAATAAACAAATAAATAAAAGTACATAGGAGAATGTGTGTAGGCTATCTGCAATTACTATGCCATTTTTTATAAGGGACTTCAGCATCCGTGGGTTTTGATATTGTGGAGTCCTGGAACCAATCCCCCCACGAGTACCAAAGGACAACTATACCATTCATCCTACAACTGGTCATTCCCAGTATTTTACGTACTGCTTCCACGTTAGATGAGTTTTCCTCATGAAAACATCTATTAGTGGCTCCATTTCCACACCTTAAACAACTGGTGAATGAAAATACCACCCCATAAAGTGGGTGAAACCTAGTACTACATCTTGCCTGTGGAAAGGAAGTAAGGGACATGAACTGGTCCCTGCAGCTTGTAGCATGGGAAAGATCAGTGCACCCAGGGAGAGCACTACTGAAGGAAATCAGTGCAGAGAAAAACTGTTTGTGCAGCCCAGAGCACAGTCTGCCCAGCGTGGGAAACCTAATGAGAACATTAAACAGAAAACTTGATCATCACGGATGGGAGCACCTGGGTCATAAATCAAATTCCTTCTGGCCCACACAATACCACCCTCACATCTTGCAGATGAATTTTTGCTAAATTATCTTAGATGAACTGTTTTTCTCTATTTCCTTTTTAATTCCCCATGTTATGTCTTCCATGAATCTTCTACCTACCTAGTTCTTTTTTTCAAAGACTTTGCTTAAAAGTATGTGCCTATAATTTTTAAAATGAATAATGCCATCATTATGAGTATTTTAATAGTAGCTTTTTTATTATAGAAGACATATATTAAGATATACACACACATAGTCATTGTAGACTAACTAGAAATAAATGGGGGGGGAAATTATCCATAATATTCTCACCCCGAATTTAACCACTGTAAACATAATAGAATAGAGAAATGACTCTCAACTAAGGGAAATTTTGTCCCCCAGGGGACATTTGGCTGTGTCTGGAGACATTTTTGTTTGTCACTACTCAGAGGGAGGCTGCTGCTGGCGTCTAGTGGGGAGAGACCAGGAACACTCTAGACAGCCTACCACGCCCAGCGCAGCCTTCCCAACAAGGAGGTATCAGACCCAAAATGTCAACAGTGCCTAGGTTATAAACCCTAGTGTGGAACTTTCCACACACTTCAATTGTGTATATACATACATTTTTCCCAAAAGGGGGATCATATTGAATTCTTTTATAACTCGCTCCTTTCACTCAAAAATATATATCAAACTATCTTATTTCAACCATAGGTTAAATTTATGATGCACCAATATTACTCAAACTAGAACTTTTGAAATGGCACATTGGGAATTATTTTTTATAAACATAATGCTTTAAAATCTTTTTAGCCAAACAGAGACCAGAAATGCTGTGAGTCCTTTAAAGATAACTGAACCTCTCAAAAGTTTCAGGTTTTATTTCCTGAAAACCACTACTACCCCTCCGGAGCGGCAGGACAACTATTAGATGGTCATTTATTATATCTTCCCATATTGAAGTTAGACCCTGTGCTTAGTTCCTGCCACCACTCCTCGAAAGCCTGGGCCCTCAGTGACAGGGTGTGAAGGCCATTACTTTTACCATCTCAGCAGGACGGATGCTCCTCCAGCCCCCTTTGTCTGTGGAAGCTACAAAATTTCAGTCCTACTAGTTCTAATCTTTAACAAATTTTCCATTTAGTTTCCATTTCTGGCCTTCATGCCAGTAAAGATGCAGAGTGAAGGTTCTGTCAACCTTGCTACATCCAAGACTCCCTCGAGGGAGGGGAGAGGACCAGTGTGTTATGTTGGGTGGTGGTGCTGTATGTCGTGTCTGTGTCCCAAGAACTGGATCTCTGGCTCTTTGCTACATCTGGAAGCAAATGAGGTATTTTCTCCCTTACCCTCCCCAGCAGATTTCTTTTGATTTCTCAATCTGTCTGTCTCTAGATTAGGTGGTACTCGGAGGCTTCCCACCAACTCAGAAGGACATATGCCACCTGTTTATGTTTCTTGCACAGGCCTTTGAGACAGATGAACACCGATGGGAATAAATGCCATCAGCCACTTGCCTGTCCCTGAACTGACTTAGGTGGAACATACGAATTAGACACTGCTCTTAAAGGGCTCATGTAGTTAAAATAATGTACATATTATTCTTTCTTTTCATGCAAGTGCATTCTTCCGCACTCTGGAATTGATTTGAAGTGCAGAAACATCAGGATTTTTGATGTAAAAGGAAAAAGACGATGGGGATTTTAATCCTAACTCCCCCAAAAGGAGGTGTGGGGTATTGGATCTCTATTACATTTGTTGACTTTTTGCTTTTAAATGACTTTGACAACCCTTGACTAACAAAAAGATATGTGGACAAATGGAAACAAACCTTAGAACATTTCAAATTGACTGATTAAGAGATTGATTAGCTGAGGAAGAATCAGTATGGTGTATTGGTTGCAAGGATAGACTCTTGAAGCTAAGATGCTCAAAGTCCAGCTCTGCAGCTTCTTAGGCTTGTCACCATAGGCAATTTACTCAACCTCTTTGGACCAAATCTCCTCGTCAATGAAATGAGGATAATA